CAGGAATCAGTTGAGTCAGCTCTCTCTTTGGGTGACCCACTGACATAGTTCTGCAAGAGTGGAACCGGGAATGAGAAAGAATGTGCTAGAGGAAATAGTACACCACAGGGCAAGAAGCCCCGGCCATAGGGAGGCCTCCTTGCCTCTTTCTGACAGAGACTGTGTACAGCCTTTGCCTAATAATAGATAACACCAATGTCCACGGGCAGTTGTGCTGTCATTTTGAAAGCAAAGTTATCTCCATTTCATCGTCCTACCAACCTTGTATGATGAGTGGAGGACATACTATAGTCCTCAAGTTATAGACAAGAGCATTTTGGTCTGAAGAGGTTAATGAATTAGGATCACATAATCAGAAAATGGTGGAGTCTAGACCAGACCCCAGGTTCCTATTGTCTGCATGCTAGTTTATCGTGCTCTTCAGCAATGCCGATCATACAAAAAGGATTTGCCCTGTTTTTAAAAAAATTCATTAACAATTCATATAAAGATAGGAGCAATCAAAAATACATGGAACTGAAAAAGTGAGTCTCATCTACTTGCAATAGTATTTTAAGATTCCTCAATGCTGTGTAAATGTGTTTAAATAATAATGGCCCAAGAAAGTCACTTAAATTAAATTCACTGTTTTACAAAAGTAAGGCCATGACAAGCCAAGTCAGGAAATTAAAATTTAAAGCTGTCATTCTGTGGTTAGAAAAAAAGCGGAAAGTGAGTGAGTAAAACAGCATATGAACATATCTTTTACACTTGGGTTTTAAATAGGAATAAAGGGAAATTATAATTTAAGAGAAAAATACAGAAGTTCAGAAGGCTTATAACTTAAGTACAGTTTCAGATCTGCCAATGAAAATGTCTACCTCAAGAAATGTTTATTAGCATAATATATTTATTTCAAAATGTAAAGCTAATTAAAAGCATTTTGAAGAAAACAGGTAGCTCTTTTCTCCTTGAGGAGGGAGCTTTGCGTTCATGCGTGTGTGTCCCAAACTGCAAGCTTTCTAAGCCAAATTTTATTTCCCCAAATTAGATAGTTTTATAACCTTCTAGACTCCATCCTCTACCCCCATACAATGAGGGAAAAACATGGTATAATTGTGTAACATGAAGATCTCACATATTCTGGGCTACAGGAAAGAGACACAAATATAAAAAATGTCTCAGAACATTTTTATTATGAGTCCCTGTTCACTGGTACAATGTAAAATTAAAGCACCTTTAAAAAGAAAAAAAAAATTCAACAATTTTAATATTGTGCAGCTGCCACAAATTCCTTTTGGAAGAAGGCTGAGCATAAATAATTTTAAAAACAAAAAGAACATTATTTGTGCCTAATGGATAATATAGCCTCTATGTAAGCATTATAGTTTATGGATTGTAACTCGGAGTTCTGAGTTGTTAAAATTCATTGCTTCTCAATGACAACCCACATAACACATGGACATACTTAGCACCCTGATTTTGGTCTCTACACACCTTTTTCCACTGAAAGGATCAGAGCTCTTGGGGGAATTGGTTAATTCCAGGAAGAGGGCAAAAAAATATGACTATTAAGTTATAGCAGTATAAATTAAATGAAATAAAAAAATTCTGTTCCTCAGTGGCATTAGCCACATTTCAAGTGCTCTAGCCACATAAGACTAGTGGTTATCATACTGGACAACAGCATATTGGGCATTTCCATCACTGCAGGAGTTCTACTGGACAACATTGGTCTAGAGATTAAAAGAGATTTAAAAGACTTAACAACAAAATGCACTGTGTGAAACTGTTTCATTTTTGATTAGAAAAATAAAAAGAGTCTTTTTTGGATTAATGGGGGAAACTAAATACAGCCTCAGAATTAGAATATTAAGGAATTATCATAAATAACAATGTGTGATGACGGTATTAGGTCATATGAAAAAACATTTTTAGAGATACATCTGGAAGTACATAAATGAATAAATGTTGTATTGTCTGGAATTTTAACACATGATAAAAAATAGATGCAGTAAATATGGCAAAAATGTTAATAATTGTCAAATATAAATCAGAATATTTTCTATAATTCTATGTATGTTTGAAACTTGTCATAATAAAATGTCAAACACAGCTTCTTGCATTTCTAGTTTTAGAGTATCAAATGTAACTTATAGAAAATTATGTATAAACATGTGCATTTCTATGTACATTAGAAGCTAGAACCACAAAGGTCCAGTATTTTGGCCTCAAAAATAGTAATTGCTCTGCCTAAAGTGTTATTGCCATAATTAAGCCAGGGATGATTAAAACTGAAATGAGAGAACACAGAATTACTGTAGTCTTTAATAAACTGTTCTTGTGTCTAAGTTACCTAGACTACTGGGTGGATAGACAATCAATTGCCCTATATAAGTGGCAGATATTTTATATTTTAGAAGTATCAAAATTTTCAACTTTTTTAGGAATCATATCTAGTTGTTTTAATTAAAAACACTACAATAAAAATATCAAGACTATTTGGCTAAAATCCCATTCAATATGTGATTTATTTTAAGTACAAAAGCTGTAGGTTATATCAAGTACTCCTAAGCTGAAAAGCCAGAGCATGTAAGAAATGCATTTGTTCAGTAATGCTATTCACGAGCAATCTGCCTAATTAAGTCAAATTGAATTATCAATGGACATATATGATAAAGTATTATGTCCTAAACAAACAAAATTATCAAATTGCATAAGAACCTATGCAAATATTGTTGAATTGGGACTACACGAAATAGAAACAATGTATGCTTAAATATTGAGATTCATTTGATGAATTTCCCAATATTTATCACAGAAGTTTAAAACATTTTTGAAATCGCCTATTTCTATGGTATCAGAAGCTAGAGCTCCAAGACACAAAACAATGGAAATTCTTGGTGTGTACTATTCATTCATTTAATGAGTATTTCTTAAAATGAATTAGTTATCTATTACAGCAGGTTATTAAGATATATTAAGCAATATGAATCAGTAAACCATATAGTGCAGATAGAAACATTGACTCTAAAGTTAACTTCCAGATCTCAATTATTTCATTTAGTGGAATTGACAAATACTGCCTTCACTACATGATCTATATGAATGGCTTAATCCCATTATACAGATATTAGAATCTGTAGAGTGCCAAATATGACTCCTTTATATGGCAGAAAATATAGATTAATGAAACAGGGCTCTACTTAATTTTGAGTCTCAAAGATAACTACTATTTCCATTAAATAATATATAAATACATTAACGATAAAGTTCCATACTGATCATTTTTTTAAAAATACAATAGCATGTAAGATTAAAAAATATGACAACTTACTTTTTTATAATACTGACAACTTGCCAATTTTATATAACATATCTTTTATATCAGTTCCATGTTCAGCCCTAATGGTTTTGGCCAAACACTATTCAGTTAGGCCCAAGAGCTTTTAGGATTCAATTTTAGTAAAGTAACCTGGGGTTTTCAACTTACCCAATGATAGTTACTCACATCATGATAACTGTCCTCAAATATACTTACATGTTCACTCTCTGAAATTCAGAATGCCTTTTTTCTGTACTACTGTAAATATAGGTTGAATCTCAGACTAGGTTATAAAATATATATAAGATTTACTCTAGCTTACTGTACTAACAACAATGGTCAAATTCTAGGCTCTGGAAACCTAGGGCCAAGTATTTTGGAAGGAAGATGGAAAGAAAAACAAAGAATGTATTGCCTTTCTGGAGCCAGGATCAGTCTAGGTAAAATTTTGAAAGAGCTGACCTTCGCCTTGACATTCTTCTAACCTGCTTTCTGGGCCCCCTTCGGCCTCAATGGAGCTTGTTCTCTTCTTCCTGTCCCAGTTCTTGGTGACACACAGGCCTGACTGACTCAGGAATACTCCAGAAGCCCCCCACACCCTGGCTTTCCCTCTTCTATGTCCTATATTCCAGTCAACCGTCAGTCTCTCACCAAAGCAGCTGGATCAGATAGAGGCCACAGGAAAACAATCTGATTACGAAGCAAAATGTGCCTACAGCCCTTCTAGCCGTATTTGTATTACTTAAAAAATAATATCAAATATCACAAATCCTTGAAAAGGGGAAGTTTTAAGATTCTCACAATTTGGGGGGAGAAAACCTACCACAATGATGGGGAAGCCCTTAAGAGTAAAAAAAAAAAAAAAAAAAGACAAGTTCTCAAAGTACACCAACCTATTCTGGTGCCATTAACTCACAGTACAAATAGCACTTTCCACTTCTGACTCCAGGTTTTCTATATATCTTAGGGTTTGTGAAGTTTCCCTCAGGGTAGATCAGAGGGATGGAGGGGAGGGCTCTGCAGGTGGCTGGATGCTGGGCTACTTAATGTTGGGAACTGCTTTAAATACTTTAGGGGAGTAAATTTGCATTCTTTTTTACATTTGGCTCAGGATTAATTTGGCATTTGCTGTATTTCATCAACATACACCTACTTCAGGGTTATAAGGGAAATCTCTTTTGATATTAAAACCCAGGAGCAGACCGTCAACTACGGCTTAGCCACATAACACTGGCAGCTGACTTTCTTATTCTGGTAGTCAAATAGATGGTAATCATTTTCCAACTAGTTAATATCAAACTTAATTTTAAACCCAAATAGTGCCTGAGTTTTGATGGGTTACTAATTAAGCATAAAAGGAAAAAATTTTGAAATAAAAAAAGAACTATACCCATAAACTTTTTATGACATGTTTAAGAGCAGAAGAGGAAGATATTGACACGTGTAAGCACTGATCTTGCCCTCAGTCACAGTAAGAAATGTTTCACTTCATCACGCTTTGAAAACCTGTTCTAATAAAAGCTTGTGCTGTGTCCCATGTGAGTGGCAATAAGGAGTGTTAGATATTTAGACATCAAGAGTTAAAAAGCATCACTCCTCTATAACTAACGTCTTAAAATACCCCCCCCCAAAACCCTCCAGATGACAGTGTTTTGGTGAATGGCTTTTACGACACCAATGTTGGAAAAGTATTTACCTGCAAGGGACTCGCCAGGGACCTGTTTTTAGGTACTGTAAATGCTTTGAGAACATTGTCTTCATCTTCTGATACTGGCGTCATTAAAACGGAACTTGTGAGAATATTCTAAAGGGAAAGAACAATTTGGAATTTAAATGAGCCTGGAAAATATGAGAGCTAACACAATTTTGACACTCTAGAGAGGAGATTATATGAAGTGATACACATGAGCAGGAACAAGTGCAGGAACCTGCCAGAAATTCTCTTCTTGCTGAGATTAGAGAAGACCTTAGCTACGCCCCAACCCTAATCCCACTGTGGCAAACACTTCTAAAACAAAAAGCTTTGGGGTCTGACACAGTTCTAGGCAGGAGGTGGGCACTCAAAAAAAAATTAAAAATCTGCTAAAGGCATTGGTAAATCCATGCTTTTAAATTAAAACAAAAGACTGGGGCACTTGGGGGGCTCAGTTGGTTAAGCAACTCCCTTCAGCTCAGATCACGATCCTGGAGTCCCAGGATCAAGTCCCACATCAGGCTCCCTGCTCCGTGGGGAGTCTGCTCTCCCTCTGACCTCTCCACTCTCACACTCGCTCTCTCTCTCTCTCAAATTTAAAAGAAAAAAAAAAAAGTGAAAGACTGGGGCACCTGGGTGGCTCAGTTGGCTAAGCAACTGACTCTTGATTTCAGCTCGAGTCATGATCTCAGGGTTGTGAGATCAAGCCCTGATTTGGGCTCTGAAATCATTGGGGAGTCTGCTTGGGATTCTCTCTGCCTCTCCCTCTGCCCTTCCTCCTGCTCTTGCTCTTCTAAAATAAAGAAATAAATATTTTCTAAAAATAAAAATGAAAGATTTACTTAGCGCTAGTTAGAGAACTCTTTATTTTGTATATTGGTACCAAAATATTTTAGAGCTACAAATTAATGGCAGTGTAGTAGAATGGTTAAAAGCATGGAATTTAGAACAAGACTTTCTGAGTTCTAATCCCTAACCACCACTTATTTGCTCTAAAATCTTAAGCAAGTCTCCTTGTGCCTGTTTCCCAGTTGGTATAATGGCAAAGATGATGTTACCAACTTTGCAAGGCTGTTGTGAGGCTTCAATGAGGTGATGCATCTGAAGCTCTTAGAAGGGCACTTACCCCTTAGTACATACTGAATAAAGATTAACAATTGTTATTAGCTCTGATTCTCCATAAAGGACAACCATTTGCAAACTCCAAACTTTAAAGATGGTGGTAACTGAGGGCTAAAAAGAAAGGAGCCATCAAGCCATGACAGGAAACGGAGGAAACAAAGTACATATCACTAAATGAAAGAAGCCTGTCTGAAAAGGCTACACAGTGTATGATTTTAACGATACGAAGTCTTGGAAAAAGCAAAACTATAGAGACAGTCAAAAGATCAGCGGTTGCCAGGGGTTCGCAGGGGCAGGGGTTGGTGGTGGAGGGACGAATAGGTAGACCGCAGAGAATTTTTAGGACAGTGAAACTACTGTGTATCTATCCTATTCTAATCGTGGATACATGTCATAAATTTGTCCAAACCCATTGAATGTATAACACCAACAGTGAACCCTAATACAAACCCTAATATAGACTTTGGGGGAGGAAGGGCCAATGATGTTGGTTCATCAGTAGTAATAAAGGTACCACTCTAGTGGGGGTTGTCGGCAATGGGGAGGGCTATGCAGGTAAGGGGGCAGGGGTGTGTGGAAAATCTTGGTAGCTTCACAGCTTTGCTGTGAACCCAAAACCACTCTTAAAAATAAAGTTTATTTTTAAAAAATGGTGGCAAGCAAAGTCATGTAGTAATAAGAACAATAAAGGGCGTCTGCTATAGACACGGACTGACCTCATGCTAAATGCTACCTAAAACCAAACAGGAGGCAATGCAACAAGGAGGAAATACTACCCTTAGAAGACAAACACTTGAAAAGAAAATGTAAAATTAACGTTCTGCTTTCATGGAAATATGTATTTTGGTGCAGAAGATTTTTTAAGTGGCAGGGACTCTCAAATCATAAGAATACAAGTAATGAAAAAATCTGCATGGGAAAGAATCCATTTCCAATACATATGCAAAAATTTCTATATTCAACATTAATAATCATGAGAAAATAGTCATACAACAGAGAACATTTAGAAATAGGATGCATTAAATAGTGCTAAAACCACAGGAGCCTCATGCACCATGCAGAGAATTCTGTGGGGCACCAACATCTGCTAAATGGGCAAGTACTTACTGGCACGTCTGTCACAGGCGATGTCTGTGTGAACAGCTGGGTGTTCAGGCTCTCCCCTTCCCAGTGGTTGGAGCAGAAGAAGTTTCCTGCTTTATCCGTTGGGGATTCCACCTAAAAGCAAACAGGAAGTGCTTCATTGTTTCTAGAACTTCCCACAGAACGCTGAAACTTGAGAGTAAATTTCTATAAAATGAGTAATATCTGAGGATCTATATCTGAGGATTTAATATATATCATGTTGACTGTAGTCAGTAGCTGTATAATTGAAATGGGCTAAGAGAGCAGAACTTAAACGTTCTCACAAAAAAAATCTAACAAAAGGTCAACATGTGAGGTGTTGGATGTGCCCATTAACTCAGTGAGGGATAATCCTTCCACAATGTATGTGTATATCATATCATCCTGTTGTACACTTTAAATCTCTTATAATTTTGTCAATCTTATCTCAATGAGTCGATCTCTGGTCAGTCTCTCAAACATTCATCCTTATATGAAAAAAAATTCCAGAGGCACTATATCCACCTGTTAGAAATGCTTCTTGCCACCCAAGACTAAACTTTTTCTTTTTTAAAAAGATTTTATTTATTCATTTGAGAGAGAGAGAGAGAGAGAGAAAGTACAAGCAGGGGGAGAGGGAGAGAGAGAGGGAGATGCAGACTCCCTGCTGAGCTGGGAGCCTAACTCAGGGCTTGATCCTGGGACCTGGAGACTATGACCTGAGCTGAAGGCAGATGCTTAACAATCTGAGCCACCCAGCTCCCCCCAAACTAAAACTTTGATCCTTGCAAGTTAGTGTCTTTTTCTTTTATACTAGACACTATTAGATACTATTATTTTAATTTAAATTTCACTCTCCATGACATCTGAAAATTAAAAGTCATGTGTATTAATTATCTATGTGTTTGTGTATCAGTGATAAAAATGTACAGAAAAGGAGTGCCTGCATGGCTCAGTTGACTGAGCATCCATCCCTTGATCTCAAGGTCGTGAGTTCAAGCCCTGCATTGGGCCCCATGCTAGGCATGAAGCCTACTTAAAAAACAAACTGACAAAGTCCAGTAAAATGTTTTCCTCTCTTTTTTTTATCCTCCCTAACACATTTTTTGTTCAAACTCGAAGTAGATAGAGGTGGCTTGGCCTCCCAGATGAGCGGTCCCATGCCTACTACAATCTGGCAGTACCTCTTAGCTGCATCTTGTAGAAAAATCTTGTACAAAAAGTGCTGTTGATTCCCAGTCCTGACGCCAGACATATAAGGCTGCCACAAGGAGCAGAGGCAGCAGGATTCCCATCTTACTCCCTCCAAAGGATCTCGCGCTTACCTCTTGTTTGATCTTTTTCAGCAAAGGGGGTCCATTTTCTTGAAACTCGGCAACAATGCCAGGTTCATCCGATTCCTGCTTGATCACATCCTGTAGGTCTTCTACTAGGTGAGATGGTGTCTGAGGCTGAAAGGAAGAGTGGGTATGTGTGCATCAGAGGACAATTTCTGTCTGCGCTAATCAACCGGCTAACCTTGGGAACTTGGCCCAGACTTACTAGCATCTTCAGAGGACCATATTTAATTTCTTGAGCTGCCAGGGCGTGTTTGAATGGTGTAGGAGTTCTTGGAGAGCTTTCTAGGATTGACCTTTTGATAGCTGGAGTTCTAAAACTTTAAAAAGAAAACAAGTGTTGGTTCAGTTATAGAAGAACATTTGTCCTTTCCATCACTCTACCTATTAAATGCCTATTAAATGCAATATTTTTGTACTGAATAAACTCTGTTATTGATATACAAGTGGGTATGTGAATTAATCATTTATGTGTTGTTAAGAAAAAGATTACATATATATATATATATATATATATCTCACATATTACCAAATAGTTCAAATTACGATACTCTTAAGAGGATTAAACTATTTTTCATCTTTCTTTCATCATTCTGGAGACACAGTGACCCTAGGTTTTTATAATGACTAAAAACTTTATAAAGATCTGTTGTCATTTACAAATCAATTTGATCTATTCATTAACACAGGCCCAAAACAGAAAACATACGTTAACCTTTTAAAATGTACTTATTGTAAGTGGAAATTGTAAGATAACATTTTTTAAAGGTTTCTTATAATTCATATTGATGTTCTCTGCCATTTCTTTGAATTGGGGAAGGGTTTTTTTAAAATATAAACATTGCTTAATCACTCCTTGGCTTCTGATCATATGATATTACTGGGGATTTTAGAAGTCCTATCTATAGATAAATTTCAAAAAGGAAACATAAGATTAAAGAATATGAACTAAGTAAAGAACCATACCATTGTTATTCTGAATTTTATAATCAGAGAGGAAAGAAGGTTGAAAATCTTGTCCTCAGTGAAGAAGAAAAAGCCTTACTGAGCAAACGGAACAACTGAATGGAAAAGTTATATAACTATGATCTCACCTCTCCTACATAGTCCTTCTGAATAGGACTTTTTTCTTTTTTTAAAGATTTTATTTATTTATTTGACAGAGGGAGAGAGATCACAAGTAGGTAGAGAGGCAGGCAGAGAGAGAGAGAGGAGGAAGCAGGCTCCCTGCTGAGCAGCGAGCCCGATATGGGGCTCGGTCCAAAGACCCTGGGATCATGACCCAAGCCGAAGGCAGAGGCTTTAACCCACTGAGCCACCCAGGCATCCCTGAATAGGACATTCTGAAGTGAGTTACAAAACGTAATCTAATTTACCTATTGACTAGGTAACCCCTAGGTAGTTGTAATGTGCCTAGGACAGATATAGTCAATGTGGGAATATCCATGATTAGATACATACAAATGGGTCAGATATTTGGAGGCTATATTCCATTAATTAAATAAAAGTAAATAATTTTATTCTTGAACCAAGCACTTACATAGTATTTTCCTTTTGAGTTTTCACAGTCTGGTCTCTATGAAATGGTGTTGTAACAGTCAATTTGTGACCATTGAGAGGTGTGGAAGTTAAAGAAGGCATTTCCAAGTCTAAGTTTTCATGGTTACCAGAAGTGTTTAAGAACTAAATATGGGAAGAAAGAAAAAAAAATTACGTAAGCAGTGATTCTTTATTCAGCCCGACTTAAATATCACACCATGATAACAAGCGAGTATGTTTTACTGACCCATTATGTAAAATAATAACGATATTAATAAGCACATAGTGTTGGACAGGGTATTGTTTTATTTCAGTTGGAGTGCAATTTGGAGTGTAATTTCCAAGCAATAAAACCTAGGGTCATTACTGAAAAACTCGCAAAATCCTATGAAAATATTCTTAATAAATACTATTTGTCATTAAAGAGAATGAGCTGCATACTTTATTAAGATTATAAGCCTTAAAGTGATTTTTTGGAAAGTAATTATTGTTTTTCTTTCATGCTGTTTTTTTTTTTCTCTTTAATGACCTATGAATTATTATGATGGAAGTCTTGCATTATATGGAAAATTCTTGAATAATAAGATATGTTTCTCAGAATGCCATTGTTCTGGGGCAATCATAGGTGTTCCTCAAAAAGTTCTAAGGTAAAATAAGTTTGGGAAACAAACATATCATAATCTCCTCCTGGATATTCACAAAGTGCATCAGTGTCTTTAAAAACTCTGAGAGGTCCTGTAGTAAAGAAACCAATTTTAACTGTGACATAGTATTTCCCAAGCTTATATTCTTATATATTTAGATTTTTTCTGGAACATCTACTAAAGCCTTGCAGAACTAATATTCTCCAGAACACAATTTGGAAGATACAAACAAATAACAGATAATTTGGGGGGTGGGTGCTTCATTTGCTCATACTTAAAGCTCTCCTTAAAATAAACTCAACAGACATACTTGGGAAAATGTGTTAAAGTGCCAAATTATCTAATAACTTCAATCAGTTTAGCAAGTAAGGACTACAAGTCTCTGATAAGAATTATAATTTCCATGCCTTGAAAAAACACTATGCAATGAGAATATTCATGGCAAAAACCATGTTGATAAAATAGTATGGCATAACCTAAAAAAGCCAACGTTGAGAAATTAAAATTAAAACATAAGTTGTTTTCCTTAAGCATTTGTTCCTTATGCTTTCCCAAAACTTTCCCACTGAAGTATGGATCAGAAACTCTCAAGCTTCTGGTTGCAACCCAAATGCTCTCCAAACCCAGTTTGGTTCCCTCCTCCCTGGGTCAGTGAATCACAAAATAATAAGTGAACAAACAGGCAGAAAATCTGCTAAAGTTTTTAAGGAGGGGGAAGGGCTGGGAGAAAAGGAAGGGATAGAAATGTTAAACTCTAACGTTGGAGGAAATAAAAGCACATCCCATGCAACTAACAGTGTTTCAAATCACCCCGAAAGAAAGAGAGCATTATGACAAAATCAGCAGTCAGCCTACAGACGGCTCCAGCTATGGGAGGCAGTATGACGTGGCAACAGCCAGAGTCAACGATGGAACAGAATCAGTGAGGGCAATAGTAATTAGTCATTTGTTCCAAAGGATTAGTTTCCAGATTATTAAGGCTTGAGTGGCTGTTGAAAATTAGTAAAAGCCGTGCAGAAACCATGCTCTACCTGTGAAGGGGAGAAGGGTAGGCTTTTGACAGGGGAACGCTGGGGAGTTGAGCTGCTGACGTCAGCAAATACGAAGGAGCTAGAGTCTCCAGTGGCCAAGGGGCTAGCCTGGCCCCGCTTTTTTCGTAGGATGACCAGTGGAAGTGTGCTGTGCCTCGAAGGAGGTGAGGGCTTGAGCGGGTCAAGGGAACCCTTGTTCAACTTGAGTCTGTGCGCCCTCGTGCTAGGCTCTCCTGCAGGGCTAGTCACTCTGCCCTCTCTTTGCTGAAGCTGTAGGGCTTTGCCTGCATGCTGTTGGCTAGGTGAAAACTCTGGTTCTTCACAGAATTCAAAACTGCTGAGATCACACCGTGATGAAGAATCCTGAAACAATGTGGGAGGTGCAGAACTTTGAGACGGTGTGTGCCTGCTGCGTGCCACCACCTGAAACAGCACTGAGGAAGAGATGCTGACGGCGGACAAAACACCTGGCCCTCTTGAGAAATGGCTTCAGGATTCATGATTGTTCTGGGACGATGCACGGTGGGTCTCCCATGGTGCCTGCAGGCTAGTCCCTGCGGACATGCCATAGGGAACCCCCCAAACTCTCTCACTTCATGCAATCCAAAGCAAAAAGGAAACCTGTTCTAGATGGCGCATTTTGGCAAGGGTGGATTGTGGATATGATGGATATGGATAAGTGGACATGCCGTAAGTATGCTTTTTAGTGACAAAGGAAATGAACTGAGTGTCTACATTTTAGGTGCTGCACTCACATGTATTTCACTAAAGATAGTTTGTCTTAGTGAACCAGCTGGGACTGGGAATCAATAATCAATGTTTTGTGGTGAGAGCCATGTACCACCAGTGAACTCCTTCCTGCTTCAGATACATAGAAAGGCTGCTTTTAAGTTCTGAGTAAACACAATTCTTAATGTGCTATCCAAAAGCAAAGCACAATTCTGGAGAAACACAAAGAAGTAACAAAGTAAAATAAGTTACAAATAACTCAAACTTCATTTCATAAGCCAGGATCTACTTATAGGTCATTAACTTTACTATTGTAAAAAAATATGCGTTTTGAAGGAAATGCATGAAAAGCTACCTTTTATCTGGGTAGTCTATGAATTCAGATCTCTGAAAAACCATAGATGCAAAGACCGAAATCATACTTCTACATTAATATATGCTAATAACATGATCTTTGCAACAGAAAATGGCAATCACCTGAGAAATGGGTTTCCTAATCCATCTGCAAAAACATAAACTTGTCTTAACAGTTCTACTTACAGAATCTATAAATTGAAGTGTTTCTGCAAATTCTAAGAGGTTCTTGACGTTATCCAGGATGGTCCCTTGGTGAACGATCATGCACCTTGCTGGGGAGGCACTTTCTTCAGGTAGGGAGCCGGGGTCCACAGGCAGAGATGGAGTGGAGTGGTGTTCTTCCAAACAGGAAACAGGTGCACTGTCCCCATGAGGTCTGGTGTGGTCAGCGATGGTGGTGCTGTGCCACCCAGGATAGCTGCATGTGTGGTTCTGGGTCTAAGGCGGGGTTGGGGGGGGGGCAAAGAAAGAGCGGGGAGAAGAAAGGGAGAAGGAACTTAGCAATGAAGTTGCACAAGGTATCAGATGCTGTTGGAGGAAAGATAAAAGTAGTTGCATCACCCAAAACTTGCGCCTATGAAACAGTTGTCAAGATGTTTCCTTTTATCGATGCAAGACCCTGCTTTTTAATAGTGTTAAGGTCTGTCGCCTCCATGAGCACCCTCACTGTCATCATTTTGCTAAAACTGTAAACAGAGGGACTGTGTCACAAAGTACAAGTCTCACACAGGCCACCTTCAAGATCTACTTTAACATAACTTCCAAAAGGGCACATATAGTTGCTGCGAACTAAGAATTGTCCTGCTAACCTACAAAAAGGCCAGGAGACTCAAGAGTTAGAGTTCCTTTTATCTGCATATACTCTTGTTGTTTCTCTCCCTTCTGAATGTTACCAATTGCACTGAGGCCCTGAAGGGCTGCCAGATCAACGTGGTTAGGAAAGCAGAAGAGCGTACTAACAGAAGTCGCCTTTCAGCATGACCACGCAACAAAAGACATTGCAAAACGCGAACTAAAGTTAAAAAGTGGTTGAACTAACATGCAAGAACTAAAGTTAAAAAGTGGCTGAACTAACATATGCACATAATCGTCTTACTATTTAACCCCAAAGGAATCCACTCCTATGAATTCCTACTGGGTATCACATCTCTTTTATTCTCTTTGTTGTTTAACTACATAGGTTACAAAGTACATGTCACGTTCTCAGTTCACAGCCCACCCACCAAAAAAATCAGTAGCGGTCCACACAGCTCTCATGCGTGCAAAAAAGAGAGCAGTCCTGTTATTTATGGAGCGCTTATCCATATCTTCTTCCCATGGATATATGGAACAGGCATCAGATCATATGTGAAATGATAAAGTAAGAAAATCTAGGTTAAGAAAAATGATAGAAAAAGAAAAATGCCAAATGAATAGATACCAGAGACAGAGCTTTGTAAAAAATGGCAGATTTTCATTCATTTATATCTGTTAGTCTGTCTTTGAATGGATAACAGTCCTGAAAAAACAAGAGAATCAATGGTGGCACCCACAAGTGGACTCTGCCACACAAAAGGGCCACCTTCAATTTGGTCAACATACATTGGGATCCCAACTGCATTTTAGCACAAGCAACTTCTCTTCAAACCTATCAATGGATCTATAGTCGTGGTTAATGTAGTAGTTAGAAAAGAAGGGAAAAGAGACAGAGGGCACAGGGGTGACGCTGCTGTCTGTCCCCCATTGAAGCACATGGTTCTGTTCTTACCGGTAGCGCCTGCTGTCCTTTGAGCTCATTCTCAGTTGACATGAGGAGCAATTCTAATTCCTTTATTCGCTTTTCTTTCTCAGGGTCTTCATCATTATAGTGTCTCTGAAATTAAAAGTTAAGAGAGAATAAAATTCAAGGGCCTGACTGGAAGCTGTAGATACAGTGGTTGTGGCCCACAGTCGTGAGGGACCATTGGGCTCTGTGAGCCTCAGCGTGAGACCAACGCCAGCTGAATCCAGCCACTGTACAAAGCTTTGGGAAGGTTCTTCCAGATGTAAGGGAGCGATGCGAGATCTGAGTCTCGAGTGGGCACTTGCTGATGTTCTGGTTCAGCTGAACGTCAGAGAACCAGAGAATTCCTGAGCAGGTTTCCTCTAGAAGTGAAGATTGGTAGCTTGCTGGCCAGAACTCCACCCCCCTCTCCACTATGCCCTCTTTTTTTCTCTCTCTCTTTCACTTCAGTTGGTCAAGTGAAAATAAGTGTTTAGATGAAAGAAATAAAGCACGTCTTTAAAAGTTTGTTTTGAACAGCCCATGAGTTTCTTGAGGAAAAGGTCTTCAAATGATCTTACCTGAATGGCTGCAGCCGCTGGCTGAGGGACGTTGACTATATTTACATGTAACGCTACAGGATACGGGACATGACTGGAGACCTAGATCAAAAAGGCAGACAAACAAAGGCTGAGTCATTCATGATCACATAGGCATTAGGGGACTTGGCTTCCTGAGGTTTTGCTCTAGGACTGAGGAAAAATAAAACAAAACAAAACTCTACTGATAAAATTCAGGCACAGAGGAAAAAAAGGAAAAAAAAAAACCAACCCTCTAATTTGAAAATTTAGTCAAGCCTTTAAAAATGGCTAAATAAGTAGTTGAAGCAACATAAAGAGATTTAAAGTTCTCATTGATCTTGATGAGTATTCCTTAATTAGAGTAAAGCACAATGAAACACAATGAAAACATAACCTAAAAATTATTCATGAATGTATGAAAGAAGTCATAATGGGAAAAAACTGATGGCTCTAGCTGTTTATAATAGAAATAATTTTCTTGGAATAATTATGAGTTTTAGTAAAGAGCACAGAACTGCCTATGATAGTTCATTCATCTGAGACTTTTCTGGTAAGTCTGTAGTCAAATGTATGGAATAGAGAAGAGAGAAAACTCTTTAGGAATATATTTTGAATATAATTTGCATATGAGCTCCATATTCTTGGCTAAGTTTCACCATCTGTTACTGTTAGTTATAAGATTAATTTTAAGATTAATTACTGTTAGTTGTAAGATTAATTTTGATCTTATTATCTTCTTTCTCCTTATTTTTCTTTTCCCAACCATTATGGAAATTTCCTTCCCTGAATAGAAATACCTGGCAATTAGGAAGGAATCACACTGATCCAAAGGAGAATGAAAGGAGAAATCAGAAAATGGTGTCACAAACCTGCTCCTGACTCAGAGTAAGAAGGTAAACATGCCGGGAAGGAATAAATTAAGACATTTCTGCTAGATCACTACCAGAATCAAACTTACAGAATCAAACTTGTTGAATTTTAGTGTCGAACAATCTCCTCTTTAATATGACATGCACTTTTCATTTTGGAAGAGGGAAATACATTTTCATTTCCTCCTTCTGCTTCAGCAAGAACTTGTTAAGTAAATTTACATGCAAAAGCTAATTTGATCTGAAACATTTAAGTTAAAATCCAACAACCTGGACTCCTCCAGTCTTGCCCTGTGAGCTGGGTGACTCTTTGTGGATCACTGAACACCCTGGCATCAGGGGATGTGCCCCCAGATAATAACATTTCCCCACATCTACCTCAAAGGCTGTAGGTGGGGATCGAAGGGGGTCATGTTTGTGGAAGTTCTCTGAAAAGTATAAAAGTGTGAGGTATTCCTTCTACCTGGAGCTAAAATCACTGATGATCCCTCTCAGGAAACTAAATTCTCAGAAATGGCTTACATTTTGTGCTTCAGAAATGTGGTAATAGGAATAGTCATTGTTCACCGAGGGCTGGCCAGCCGGTGGGAGATGAGCTGACGGTGGAGGATGAGCAAAACCCATCAGATGGCTGTTCTTCTGGAAACTGGGGGCCACTGTTGGTGGGCTGGCTTTAGAAGACTCCTGCAGATAACCTTCCTGCTCGACCTTCCGACGCATTGTAGAATTCCAGTGGTTCTTGATAGCATTATCAGTTCTGCACAGAAATAGATCACATAAGGATTTTACAAAAAAAAATTTCAATTCAGATTAGAGTTAATTGACAGAAAACTGTTTCAAACAGAGACCTTTTCTTCTGGTCTTTTGGGGTTGTTGCTGTTTTAACTGTTTCAGTCTTCTGGACCTCTGAAAAGTCATGCTTCCCCTATTACCTAATTGAAAATCCACAGATTTTTCTCATTATCCCGTATGGAACATACGTGGACCTCTAGAAATCTTTAAACTCTTTAACCACTTTGTTTCCTTGATAAAAGAATATTTTAAGTACAACCACCCTTCGTGTTTATTCTGACTGTTCATGGTACGAGGCAATAACACACAACTTAGAGATACAGCTGTTACAGAAAATTCCTCCTTTGAGTGTGGCTTAGCAGGGCCTACCCACCACAATGGGCACACAGTAAAGTTTGGTGAATGATAACGATGTCGCCATCACTGTCTGCTTTTTATCTCAGAAAGCACTAGGCCAAAATTTGAGTAAAAAAAGGAAAAAAGAAATAAAAGAAACTCCCACCTTTTGCAGTCCACCTTAAACGTTCTCTAACCAGAGGTGAGAATGGAAAATGGGATCCAGAAGGGAAAGATGCTAAGTCCCAATGTATTTTCCAACTGCAAAGCATTTTTACTAAAGTCTTTCAATTCTCAGGAAAACAGTTTCTCAATTCAAAAAAGACAAAAACAAAAACAAAAACCGTTTTAAGCCTCCCTTTTACTCTCTTGAAGGGGGTGGGGAAATGTATGCTAAAGAAAGAGGAAGTTCAATTGCCCCTTAAATTTTTACAAGAATCAACAGCATATCCTCTCAGGCCAAATGGGACAAAAGCCCTCCTTTCTTCAGCCTCTTGGATTTTCTAAGCTGATCCTGAACCCTCCATGAGGGAGGAACAGCTCTGGAAGGTCACACAAGAATACTACCTAAACCATCAGAGCCATGGCCTTCTTTGAAAGGACCCTTTCTCCAATCCTGAAGCTCAAGGATAAAATCTATTAAATTTTTTCTATCTTACATTATTTACATAAGATTTATAATGAAAGGTATCTTCCAAATTAAAGAAAATGTGTTTATAAAGTGTTCCAGTGGGGTAAGTGGGACAAAAATGAGCTTCTATAGATATCCCTCATAATGAGGTCATTTTTGTGCCTTGTCCATTTAAAGAAAGCATAACACTGGCATTATTTAAAAACCTGGAAGCAGTATGATAATTCTAGAAATGCTCTGCTTCTTCAAAGGAAGAAAAATGAAGCCATGTGGTATAATGAAACGAACGCTAATAAGAGCAAAATGACAGCTGAGCTCCTTCTGGTCACTTCACCAGCTGCACGAACTCAGACCAGAGACAAGATGTCGATTCTCAGTTTCCTTCTATGTGTTTAGAGGTTTTATAGTTTACAGAGTGCTTCGACATCCATTTTATTTGATACGAACATTGGCCCTGTGGAGGAGGCTATTACTCATTTTGCCAGTGGGGCGATCGAAGCTGAGGAAGGTTCAGTGACTTGGCCCAGAGCGCACTGCTGGGTGGATTCTAGAAGTACTTGACCAGAGAAACGCTAAGAGCTCCTCCAATTTAAAAACATATGGATCTGGCATATCTCATGAAACATTATCATTGGAATGTGATTCACTCACCATACATTTAAAACAAAATGTTCAATACCCACTCCCTTATTCTTCCCAATCAATATATTTTTTGACATATTATTACCGTCCAGGCAGTAGCTTTGCGATTTCTGCCCATCTGTTCCCCAGTCTCTTGTGTGCCTGGTAAATAATTCTGTCTTCCTCTTCTGTCCAGGAGGTTTTCTTAACTTCTGGATTCAAGTGGTTATGCCACCTCTCCCTACATTGTTTTCCAATTCTCCCCTTTAAGTGCTTGGCAATAACAGACCAACGTTTCGGACCGTATTTCTGTACAAGCTCTATCACCTTCAGATAAACACACAAAAATAACCTATGTTTTAATGTTATGTATTGACTCAGTGTAATCATTCTTCAGTGTTACAAGATCTTTAGAAAATGTCTAAGAATCTGCTTTCATTCATTGGAAATACGGGAATAGAGTCCTCAGCTTCCTGACATTTTACCTGTTTCCTCAAGTTGGGAAACATTCGATAAAGATGTCTGGGGAATAGTCAGAATTGTGATTCACACACCAATGAGGGAAGAACTTACTCTCTGATCTTCTTCTTTGGTCCAAGGACCCTTGATGAGTTCAGGATTTAGAACTTTCTGCCATCGGTGCTGGCACTGCACATCTGTTCGATTCTAGACAAATAAAGTATGTGCTGTCATATAGGTATGATGTGATAAGCACATGAAGGCTTTCTCATGGTATGAGTCATACATAGACAATACGCACATTCAGGAACATTTTAGGGCCTGTTTGGAAAGCCTACCGATTGCTCATTACTTATAGCTAGTGAACATACAAAGAATATATCAAAATTGTATCTAAAATTAGAAGCTCTGCCTCCTTTGTGAAACAGTCCTGCCACATGAACTGAAGAACCATCATTTTGTACAGATGTCAGTTTAACTTACCTTATCCTCAGCCCGTAGAAGTACCTCTGTGGACTAAGACTAAGACTTGTTAGTGATTTCACGTGACGGTCAGGTTTTCATGGAAACCCACTCCAAATAACTAAAGTTTGCTTCCCATTCAAACTAAGAGATGTGCTTCAATTTAGGGCCTCGAGTCTTAATATTACAGCACAAAGATAAATAGAGGCTCTGTATTATAAAAGAGGGTGATCTTATAAGGAAAAAAAAGACAAGTATATAATCAACTAATAGAAGGCAGAATCTGATTCACAGGTAAGAAGAAACCAAAGCAAAAGGATATTGGACTGAGAAGAGAAGCTTCTCCTTAAGAGGAGAAATTATGTTTCCTAAGGAAGAGTCTGGAAAAGCTTTTGATAGGGACTTGGAAAGATGGCTGGAACATTCTAGGAGGAGACATCACCAGAGACAAAAGCCCAAAGGAGGGAAAGCAGAAATGAATTCAGTGAAACCTGCTCCCATAGAGGAAGTAGGAAACAGAACCCAAGCTGTATGTCGGGGCCACGTGGAAGGTCATGGGGCCTGTGTGGAAGGGGCCCGGGTGCCAGGTCGAGGCACCCGGGCCCCTTAATTTGTGAGATTCTATGTCACTGCTGAGGATTTTGAAAAGTTCAGGGACAGCTGCATTCGAGGAAGCTCCATGAGCTAACAATGTTTGGGATGGATGGAAGAGTGGAAGGCTACAGGTAGGGAAGCCAGTTAGGAAGCCCCTGTAATTGTCCAGAGAAGAGGGAAGGGGGCCAAACCTGTGGAACAGCAAGAAGGTTGGAAAGAAGGGGCTGACTGACAAAGGAATTCCAGATTCCACAGTCACTGCCTGGAAGTAGGAGGTGGGAAGTGGGATAAGTCAAAAAGGATAAACCAAAATTTTCAGCCAGGGTACCAAAAATATGGCTATCTAAATAAATAGGAAATTTAAAGAAGCTAACTAGAAAATATCAGGAATTTTGTCATCCTACCATCAGAATGCTAATTTATATTATTCTAATACATAAAAAGATAAAACAAGAGGCAAAGTTTAAAAAAAATGTTGTAAAAATCCTTTTACGATCTCTCTAGAAACCCTAGTTATATGCATTACAATAGAAACTATAAACTATAAGTTATGGATGAGGCCGTTCTCCTCCTACTTCTTATATATGAGCAAATGTGTAATATCTTAATGTCTTTTCCCAGGACATAAATGTTGGGAGAAGATTTCCTTTTACGGAAAGAAAAAGATTACAGACTTACCGGGAGATAATTGGCAATAACTTTCCAGTCATCTGTTCCATTCTGTTCCACCAGCTTCTTTAGCTTTTCATCCTAAGACATTTAAAGTTAATCTAGGATATCACTCATTTACAGTATAACTTTATTCAATTAAGAGTAAAAGGGAACCAAACCAATAATCCAATCCAGAAAAAAACCCTCAAAAATACCCAAATACAACAGATATTAATGTAATATACTGGTTAGAGCATAGATTTATTTAGAGTCTGACACACCAGAGTCTGAAACCCAACTCAGCTATTGAATAGTTAGACGAGCTTGGGTATATCATTTTATTTTTCTGGGCCTTAATATCATCTTCTATGCAGTGGGAATGCTGATGTCAATGTGCATTTTGGGAGATTACATGAAATAGCGATGGAAGACATTTAGTGTAATGCCTGGCTCACTGAATGTTTAGTATATGAAAACTATTAAAAGTTCGCTTGATGGGAAAAAAAAATGAACTCCAATGTTAGAGTCAACAGATATTTAATTATGACAGTAAACAGCATCTTGAGTAAGAAATAGTTCAAGTTTTATTTTAACATTTAGCTAGTTCAATCTCTTTCATGCAAAAAATGGAAGATCACTTTTTAGATTAAATTTGAAGTCACGGATAATATAAGAAAATAATTTTATTTTTGCATCACAATTTAGTCACAATTTAAACGAGGCCAAACTTATCAGAACACAGAAGATACTAAACCTCAGGAAGAAATCTTTCAGGTCTCAAGTGTCTTTCTAAACACATCCCTTCAAGTGAAAAAAAACCGCCACATTTCTGCAAAGATAACTTTCACACACAGCGTGGGTCCTTGTAGGACACAGACACAGGAATTAGGAAACCAGTGTTAACAACAAAACTTCTGTACCTCCCAGGATCTTCTAAGATCACTCCATAGATAAACTTAAGCATTTCCTATGGACCTCACTGCCAATTCCACTTGCCTATCAAGAGGGGTTCTGGTTTAAGTGAAGTAGGGTGGAATGAAACTGAAGAAGAGTCAATATTATTTATTCTAACATAAAATCCTCTAAAATCAGTTGCAATTGATTTGGAAAACTTTAAAGAAATCAATTTTCCCCATACATGAATAATTTTTGCCCCTTAAGTATTAGTTCCTTAAGTACAAAGATCAAGCTTTTGCTAAGCTAGCAGAAAAAGGAAGGTGGGAAGAAGACATATATCCATCCATCACTGAAAGCTGAATAGACATTCATGTATATGGCTCTGTGAAATATTACATATCACAACTGTTTAATCAATCCATTATGACAAGATGAGTTCTGTGAGTATTTTGTTTCAAACTTTTGTTTTGTTTTGGGAAATAGCAATTCATTCACTTGTACAGAGAACACTTGTTAATATCTTCCTTTGCGTCAAGTGATTCTGGGCTCAGGGAACACAAAAAGGAACACACACTTAGCCCTGCTCTCAGCAGATCTGTTGTCAGTCTACTGAGGGAGGCACGCATGTTCCAGCACTAATAAGTAAGAATGTGTATCCAGTGCTTGGAGGATACAGCCCACCTGCCTGGGGAATGCAGGGATGGCCTCAAAGAAAAGGCAATGTCTTCACAAGTGATAAAGAAGTAGTAAGAAGCAGTGCAGCAGAAGGACAAGAACAGAATAGGCACAGAGAAAACCACAGATTAAATCTAAAGTGGGAAGGAGGGGACATTCAAGAACTATGAAGAGTCTGGAAGTGGATGGTAGAGTATACCCGTGGGGAAGTGGTGAGAGGATAGCATGCTGCACAGGCAGGCTAGGCTAAGACTTCAAAGAGCCTGCTAATGAGTTTGAGTACCTGTCGTTTAGCCGAAACATTTTTTTTTTCATAAATTGATATACTTCCATGTTTTGATAACACAATTAGTTACCTCTTCCCTGGTCCACCTAGTTTTCCCCAAGTGGCGCTTTCCAGACTTAGGCAGCAGCCCATCATAGTCATGATCACACATCTCAATGTCTTCATCGTCCTCGTCACTACTGTATATGCTGCAGGAATAAAAAATGGGCAGACGTGGACTGAAACCGGAAGACTTAAACTACTGGGTTACAAAATTTACACGAAGACTCAGTCTTTTCAAAGGTTATGGAGATAAAATGTGGAAAACCTGCACGACAAGATTGTTTTCTGCATTCTGTTGCTGTAGCATTGTACACTGGTTCTGCTGGTAGTGGTATCCACAGATACGGCCAAGGACCTGGCACGTGCTTATTGCTCTGCATGTTTGAACCTGCTGAGACTCCTAGGCCAGTGACAAGTTACACATTTCACAACCTTCCAACCAATGAAGGTTTAAGTTGAAAACTTAATGTTGAGGACAATAAAAGAAACAGGAGCCTGTGTCCTTTACAAAAGCACATGCTCGAAATCTTTGGCTTACATCACAGCATTGGAATAAAATTTCTCCAAGACAAGCAATTCAATTATGTTACTCCAACGGGGCTGGTGTTTTATTGACAGAGAAAGAATTCAAGAAGCGATACACCCGACAACACAATCATAGTTATCCCTTACAGAATGAGAAGATTAAGACAATGTAAAAGGAGAGGATTTTAAAAACCCAAGGAAGGATAAGGCCATCGAGTGATCAGACTGCTTTGTACACAACATTAATATCCAATAGCAAAACTGCAGGCCAGTTGGTCCAACTTGTGGCTGCGATGACAATACTCAGTTTCCTAAGTAACTAAATGAATAATTAGGCCACTTGATAGTCACACTCTTACTTACTTTTTTGTTTTTTGTTTTTTTTCCCTGACTGAATGGTATTTTACAACTCTTAAGATGCACCTAATTCAAAACTGAGGGATTCCCCCAGGTGGGTTTAAAAAAAAATGCATTAGTATTTTGAAGAGAGCCTTTTCTTTTACCTAGTAGACCAAATTCTGAATTCTGATGACTTTTGAAGTAACTCTACACTAAGTGTTTATTAATCATATACTAAATAGATGACAGTAATGATACAGCCGTGTATAAGATATGCTATCTTAAATTCTATCATATTAATATAAATGCACCTTAACTATCTGAAATTATGCTATCTTAGAAACTTCACTAAAATTTTTCATTGTAATATTGAGAAATCCAGCAAACTGAGTACAGTAAAAAATCGTGACAGAAAGCAACACCATAGTGCCAATCATGATTTTCAAAAAGAAAATTTATATTTATATCAGGTTTTGTCTTCCCAAACTAACTTAACAAACATATATTACTCACCCCTTACAAGTCAAGCAGAAGTATTTCCCAAAAATCCTGAATTTGAGGTTCTTATAATTTAAAACTATTATTTTGGGCACAAAATGAAGGTCCAGGTTGCATGGTGACAAGTAGCATGTGATCCAAACTTCAAATGCCACCACAAAAGAGATCACTAAGCTGTACTTATAAGCTACAATGATTTTTCATTTAGTGTCTATTCTTCAAACAAGAGTCTCATCCTGTTCCCCACTGTCAACGAGAGGTTCTAAACAACTTCTGATTAATAGATAGAATCGATTCCTGTAAATATATCTATACATATACACATATGTATATGTATGTATGTGTGTATATATACATGTATATTTCTGTAGGTCAGCATCTTTGGAAAGGTTCACAGGGAGCTTCTTGGAAAGCCTCCTTATGAAATATCAGGAATACCAAAAAGAGCAGAATAATCAGAAAAAGGAGTCACAGATTCAATTTACTTTAAGGTTTTAGGTTTGGCTGGATCTGGAGATTTTCAGAAGTGAGAAACTACATTTTCCAAACTAGTAATTGGGCACCTTCCTCCTGGAAACAGCTCACCTCACAGGAACAAGCAACAAATGCGGCCGCCCATAGGGGGCAGTCAACGTCAGGTGAGAAAGGATAGGCATCAAACAGATCTACAAGTTCTGGAGGCAAAGGTGCACGTCCTAATTTTGCCTCCACTTCCCTGCATGACTTGGACAAATCACTTCCTCTCTCTCAGGACCTTAGTTCCTCGCCTATACCTAAGGGCTTGGATTTTATTAGTAAGGTACTTTTCCGCGCTAATAAATGATGGTTTCACGTCTTCAAGTCTTTTTCAAATTTCAGCACGGAAGCAGAGATGTGCAAAACCAGAGTCTTGGGGGAAAACGTGGCGTGGGACTTCTGCAGGTCCTGAAGAGACCATAAGGGGAGCAGGGCGAGCCCAGGGCTGCTCCCAGTCTCCTCCGGGGGCCATCAACAGGTTTGGCACCCGCACCAACTTTTGAGCTTTGCAGGCGATGCCCTGGCTCCAAGTTGTCCCGGTAGCCTAAATAGCACGACTAATTTCTACCAAGGACCTGAAATAACTTTTCCTTCATCCGTTCGGACAAGCTCTCAGACTCAACAGTTAGAGGACTTTCAAAGGTTGATTTCAAGCTTGATGCACTCGACTCCCCACCTGCTAGACCTGGTGTGGTTACAAGAGTACAACTATGAATATTACATTCTGTCAAGGAAACAAACCGTGCAAAGAAACGAAAAAGAAAAGAGGTGTTGGGGGTTGGGAAGAGGGAGGGGAGCGGGAGGAAGTGCCTTGTAGCCGCTACTGTGATTCTAGAAAAGGGGTTCAGACTCATTTCGCTGACCTGGTTAATAATCCCTGTGACGCTCGCCCAGCAAGAAACGGCTTTGAGCCCGCAGCGGGGTTTCTCTTCCCCCTGAGGCAGGTTCAAGGCTCCCGCCCCTCCCGACCGCCACCCTTCCCCGCTACCTGGGAGCTGCAAGGAAACTGCGCGGCCCCGCCCCACCCGGCCCGCAGAGATCTCGGGGCGCGAAGCCTGCACCGCGCCTCCTCCCAAAACCCCTTCCCAGCTTCCTTCTCCTCCTCCTCCCAGTTTCTCCTCTAAGGAAAAAAAAAAAAAAAAAAAAGGGTGCCCTCGGCTGCTCTGCTGTTAAGTCCCAAAGGCGAAGGTGAAACCACTTCAGGGGCAGCGCCCCCGTGCCGCGTGGCCCGGCACAGGGCAGGCGTTGGTTGCCCAGGGCCCCCCCAGGCCGCCTCCCTTTTTCTCGGGCGCCCAGCCCGGCCTAGGCGCTGCTCCCCGCCTGGCCAGGCGGGGCCCGAGGGTGCTGCTGCACGGCCCAAGCCCACACCCACGCTCCTTGCAACTTCCCAGCGCGGCGCGGGGACAAGCGACAGCCGGTTCAAAACCAAATAAGTACATGAAAAGCAAACAACCAGAAGGAAAAGAGGTTGGCTTTGCTTTGCCTCCAGAAGCTTATACCAAGAACCTCTGAGTGAGGGTCGGCCCGTCAACCCTTCCTCTGCCCGGACCACCAAAGGCGGCTGGAGCAGGGCGTGGGGAGGAGCGGCAACTCAGCCGCGTCCACGTGTGCGCGCCGCGCCGGGACCTCTTGCCCCAGCGCCGCGGGGATTGCGTCCTGGTTGCGCGGCAGCGGCCTTGGGTGCTGCCTGCCTCTGTCCTTTTCCGTTGAGTGGCAACCGCGACGGCCGCTGGGCTAGTCCAGGCACCCGGCGGCTCACAGGGAACTCCGGCGCGTCCAGTCCGGGAAGTGCAGAGACCAGGGGAAAGCGGGAGTGCCCACGACTGACAGTTCGGACGAATCTTTCCCTCGTCCTCTTCCCTCTTCCCCTCCGTGCGGCCACAACGTGAGGGGATTTCGCCCATCATCCCGGCGAGCCTCCCCAAGTGCAGGGACATGTGCGGCGCGGACGCGTGTTGAGTGCGTGTTAAGTGCTTGCATAAGAAATAAAAGCCTCCCAGAGTACTATGATGAGAGCTTTCAAAACCTGGGCTTAAACCAATTTGCAAATGTAGAGACCCTTTTTCTCCCTAAAATCTTCCTGGCAGCCGCCTGTCAGCGGCCGTTCTTCTTCGCCTCGGTAAGGAATGAATGAAATTTAAGGGAACTACCTGCAGCTACTAAACAATCCGGCATTTTCCCTATATCTGCCATATGCTCTGCGCTTCCAAGTCCAAACATATCGCAGAGCATCCACCAATTACGCTGCGACTCCTTCGCCGAAGCCCGCGGCATCAAGCCGGGGACCTAGTGGGCTCCCCGGGGCTGGCGGGTGCCTGTCAGCCCCCGGCTGGAAGGTGCTGCTTTTTTGCCCCCTAGGGAGAAACGTCTCCCCGTGCAACTTGCAAAATGAACCCCAGGGCATGCTTCCTGAAGTCCTGCTATATTTCCCGCATAGGCTCTTCCATTCATCAGTTCCACTCGCGGCTTCTGCTGCAGAGGCAGAGGCTCTAGGTCCTCGCAGGATCTGACAGCCCCGCAGAAGATCCGGGAATGCATGCCCACCTGCTTCCCGAGCGCCTGGTGCCCCGCGCGCCCCCGCCCGCGGCCGCCCGTCCAGGCTCCCCGTTACCTGTGTCGGGGTCTCCGGGCCATGGCGCGGCGGGCGCGGGGCTCAGCTGGGAGCCGCGGAAACCGCACGGGGCTACCGCCTCCCGCTGCCCGCCGCCTGCCTGCGTCCCTCCCCCGCTGCGCAGCGGCGTTCCGCACCGCCTGGGCGAAGTTTCTCGGGAGAAAGAACAGGAGGAGGAGGAGGAGGTCGCGGAGGAGGAGGAGAAGGAGGAGGAGGAAACAGGTTGATATTAAAATGTAAACTCTGTAAACAGAGATGCCATCAAACAAAGAGCTTTGGACACTCCCCCTCCCGCCAAATCTGGCGCCCCTGCAGTGCGCACGCGCCCTGCCCGCCGCCTCCGCGGTCGCCTTGGCTGCCGCCCGCCTGCCCGGCCGCCGCTCCCCTTTGCCTCTCGCGCCGCCGCGCTGCGCCCCGCGCGCCGCGAGCCCCGAACAGCGCGCAGGCGGGGAGCCCGGGGCTGGGGAGGGGCGGCCGGGGGCCGTGGCGGCGCCTTTTCTTGCACAAATCCCGCTCCCGAGCAGCGGCCGCGCGGGCTCGCGCCACGTCCCGCTGCGGCCGCGTCCCCTTCTCGGCGGCCGCGCCACCGTCGCCCGGCTCGGCGTGCCCCCGGCACCAGCTCCCCGAGCTCGCCGGGCTCTGACTCACTGTCCTGGGGGCGGCAAGGGCCGGAGGGGCGGGGGGAAGTACTGCATTGGGGACTGGATTTTAGGCAGGGTGTAAGATTCAGCTCTCTGGAGATGAAGTGGAGGGTGGGGAGAAGTAGTAAGGGACGGGAGCCTGTGTTTTCACTGGGCTGTTTTTTTTTTTTTTTAATCTCTCCAATTGAACTTGTTAGTGACAAAGGACACTTAAATGCAAGTGGGGCTGCAGTTCTCACCGCTCCTTATGGGGCATCCGGGAGGAGCTTTCACTCCTCTGCGAGATCCTGGAGCCAACACAGCCCACGCGCCGCCGCCGTTTGGTCACTAGCACTTGACTCTCACCCGGGCACACGCCCGGCCTCACCCACCCTGCCCGGCCCGGGCGGCGCCCACCGCACACCTCTGCCCCCGCACCACCCCTACAGCGCGCGCCCTGGATCGCACACCTGCAAAATCCACGGGGTTCCAAACTGAACTAAGGAAACCCCACGTGTGCTGGCAGGGTTTTGAAAGTTAAGAGGTTTGTGATCCGGAGGTCGGTATCCAGGCTTAGCGTAGTTTGGGGACTCTGTTTTACGAGATAAAAATCATCGAAGACTTTTTGTGTTCATTTAACTAGGGACTCTTGAAGAAATAAAGGGAGAAGATAAGTGCTGAATTTATAAGGATTGATAATTGGGGGATTTTAGGGGAGTTTTAGTTTTACTTCCGTTTATAGACTTGTACCATTGGGGATTTTTTTTTTTCATTCTCTGTACACACTTAATTTATTTTCCCTTTAATCTTATAAGTTGAGACTTCTGCTGACTGGGTTTGTGGGTGTCCCATGTGCTCCGGCAGTTTAAACTTAGCTCAGAAAGCATTTTTCTTACTAAAAAAGCATTTTCTTACAGAAATGAGTCATAATTTTATTAAATGGTGAAGCATGCTAGGTTTCAAGACTTTATCTGGTGTTTTAAACTTTGTTTCTTAAAAATTGTAATATAGTTTAAGTCCTTATCAAAAAGTGTTAGTTGCTAGCAAGGCTTTAACATTACTTTCTTCCTGAGGAAAAAACACCCCTGAAACAAAAATTATTGTAAGGTATTTCAGTTTGCAATTCTGAGAGATAAGTCACTTGCGAGTCAATATATTTTTAAAGCCAATATTTATTTGTAGATTCTATAATAAAGTTTCTCCACGTCAAAAATAAAATAAATAATAATAAAGAACAAACATGTAGAAATTACTCCAAAAGGAATTACATTCCGTCTTTGGGATTACTTTATGAATCTAACTGGTGATTCCCAAACTGAGCCTCTCTGGCACAGAGTATAAGAACCCTTCCGAAAATGAGTTCATTTTCTCAAGATAATTAGGAGGTACAACTGCTCTATGATTCTTAAACTCCTTTTAGGTAGAAAGATATCAAAATCAGTTTTATCCCCTTTATTCACTTTGTAAATCATTTTATGTGTCTTGGGGATTTATTTTATTTTCATTCCCCAGGCAGACATTTTGGAATATAGTTTTGTATTTTTCCTTGTATGTGTAACATAAGCATAATCCAATAAAGAGTATATGTGCAATGATTCTTACTAGGCTAATGTGGGATATATTGTCACCTGATAACCATATGGCAGGATAGAATCAAATGGAGTTACCATAAATTCTTGTATAGATGAAAATATGTTTTCAAAGCTGTTACAGAATGTTTATTACAACTATACATTTTCCCTTCCACTTATAACTATTACAACTGTATTTTTAGATGAAAACTTTATATAGTTCATCACTCTTCTTTTTTTTTTTTTTTAAAGATCTGCCTCATCAGTTATTTTAGCTGGGGCTGGGTTGGGAAAGGGCTAAATTCACATACAGACTTTTATTTGCATTGCATCAGACAGAGGTCAGCAACTTTTCTGTAAAGGGCCAGATAGTAAATGCTTTAGACTTTGTGGGCTATATTGTGTGTTCTTTTTTTTCCTCCTCCTCCTTTTTTTTTTAAATAATTTTTCGAAAATGTAAGAAAACGTGTATAGCTCGAGGGCCGTATCCAGCCTATAGGCCAGAGTCTACCAACGCTAGAACAGTGGTCTTCAGTCTTCAGTGTGTGTCACAAACACTGAGTGTTCCTGTGAAAAGTATACAGTCCCAGGCAGTGCCCCTAGAGACCATGAGTCAGTAGGTCTGAGGTAGGGCCTAGGAATCTGCATTTTAAATAAGTACCCAAGTGCTTTTCATGGACGTGGTTTCTAGACAACACATTGACAATCTCATTATGAGAGAGACAACAAGAGGGTTCAATACACTTTCACCTTTGCGAATTGTTGCTCACCACCTTCCCCCCACCTCATTCTCTTGCACCTCTCCTTAGCTAAAGATTCAGTCTCTCCAATCCAAAATAATTAAATTCTGTGAGAAGGTTGATGCCAGTGACCACAGGACTATGGCAGCCGACTCTTTCTTCCTGTACTGCTAAACTTCAGCCTCAGATTAGAATTTGAAAGGAACCACTCATCACTCGCTGATCATCATTAGGATTCTCCTCCGTGAGAAAGCAAGCATTTAAAGCATTTTGTTTTATTGCTAACCATCAGAGAATGGCTGAGAGGAAGAGACATGCCTAAAAGGTACAAATGTCATCTTTTTTTTGCTCTGACTGTTGAAAATCCCAAGCATGGGGTGGGCCTTTAGTACCTGTGGTCAGTGTCCCAAAGACAAGAGAGGCTTGTCAGTGTTGGGGACAGACCGGCCCTTTGGGGCTCCCTGTCTCTACAATCCACCTCTCCTCACCTTTTCAACACATTTTAGTTCAGAGCATTCTTTAAAGGGAAATAATCACAGTAAACACCAAATGGTTACTCCCCATGATTCTTGATCATTTCAGTTAATGAACGACTACTGTAGCATATAGAATTGAATCCGTACGTTTGAGATAAACCTCATGTCAGCTCACAACAAGCATTTTAGTAATAACAGTGGGGGAACTGCTACTTTAGTGCAATATATTTCATAGAGCCTCTATATTAGATAGTGACCAAATACATTTTTATCTTTAAATGATTTCTGGGTTTGGCACCTCATTTGGGATTTCCACCCTCCAGATTATATGTTTCTTGGACAAACAACCTGCCTGTTTTCATCACCATTTGAACTGAGTCTTGGTTAAAAGCAATGAGTTTTTCCATGATAAGGGAAGGGTATTTCAGAGGATGAGAAAACCGTGAGCAGAAGCACAGGGTCAGGACCTACAAGGCAGATTCCAAGCCCAGGGACCAAGGAGCTGTCTAGATTGACTGCGGCAAGGAGAGCTTTGAAGGCCGGATTAGAGGATTAGAGTGTGGTGTGTTGAATGCAAGAGCTACATTTTCAGGACCGTGCATTTGGAAGATTGATTTAACGGTATGGTCAGACGGACCATAGTCAGAAGAAGAAGATGAAGGGGAAGAGTTCAGTTAATTGGTCTGGACTAGGACAGTGACCCTAACTGCAATGAAAAGGAGGGGGTAGATCAGAAGAACACTGGCTGGGCAGAACCTTCAAGATTTAGCAACTGATTGGCTGGCTATTGGAGGCACCATTCATAGAAATAGGGAAGTCAAGAGGGGAAGAGAAGTGTGTGCTATGGAGATTCAAAGAGGAAAGTGAGTTTAGATTTCAGTATGTTAAGTTTGTGGTTTCTTATGGAAGTGATCCAGGTACAGTTCTTCAGCAGGTGGCAGAGAATGTGGGACCCTTGCCTGCTGGAGAGGCCAGGCAAAATTTTGTGAGCCAGTTGTTAGACACAGACATGATTAAAAATTAAATGTTATAAAACTACAATTAAATATGTTGTATGCCTAAAGGTAATACATATTTAAAAGTCATAATCTCCTCCTTCTTTTTTTTTTTTTTTTTTTTAAAGATTTTATTTATTTATTTGACAGAGAGATCACAAGCAGGCAGAGAGAGAGGAGGAAGCAGGCTCCCCTAGAGAGCAGAGAGCCCGATGCGGGGCTCGATCCCAGGACTCTGAGATCATGACCTGAGCCGAAGGCAGCGGCTTAACCCACTGAGCCACCCAGGCGCCCCCTCCTCCTTCTTTTTAATACATTTTATTAGTATGTCCGCTCTTGGGGTAATTTCCCCAATACATGTGCATGACGGAAATACTATGTAAGGTGTGCTAATGTGCATATCTTCCCAATTTTGTGTTCAGTCAAGTCATGCGGGTAGCTGGGGTTGGCTATGGTTGGAGTATTTATACCACAAAAAGTGAACAAAAGCTACAAATAAGGGCTCCCCAGCCTCCAGAAAACCTGTTGTTAAACATTTACCAAGGCAACGCTGGAGAAATAGTCTATTTAAGAGCTACCTGCATGAAGGCGATAGTTGCCCTATATTGTGGATTTGCTAATACGCATTTGTTATAGAGTTGGTCAAGGGAAAGCCTTTGGAGAATATTTAAGAAGTTGAAAAAGTGAGGTTGAGACTGAGTGTAGGGGCCAGGTGAAGAGACCTGTTGGAGAGGAAAGAAAGTTTTCTAGACATGCATACATAAATGCCTTTGTCTTTTCTTCTTTTGATAGAATTCTATATTTTGT